TATTTCTCTGGGATTCAATGAACGGAAAACCTTTTGGCTTTTGTTGTATGACCGATCACCACTCCTAGTTGTCTTGGTGGGCGACTTGTCAGATCTCTCAAAGCCTCAAACATTTTTCTCTCCTTTGCACTTCTCGATTTTGGCGGAATAATCAAGGAAGAGATTATTGATCTCTCACTTTGGAATTCACGTGAAGAACAAAAATGTTTCTGTCGGTGAGGGGCTATGGGACTTGGTGTATTTATAGGCTAACAACAAGGACTATAAGGAGGTGCTAATTATGGGCTCCCAAATATGAATTCAACTATGGGCATGTCCCACTCCATTCATACTTGAATAATATTACATTCCACTAAATAAATACTATTGAACTCTCTATTTAGCCTCTAAACAACAAGTAATTTATCTCCCGGCTAATTGCTCGATTTAACTCACTATGTCTAAGATATAACTTATGTTGTTTAATGTAATTACTGAAAATATAAACAACGAACTTATTGATCTGAAATTAGTACCACTCAATTCTTTATTGATTATGTCAAAATATAATCCACCGACCGGGCTTGACATAATAATCCTTCTTGAATTCATTTTAGAGACGTCATCAACCCGGCAAACCGAGATACGACGACCGTAAACAATTTCAATAGTACATCATGTAATCGGAATTACTTACAAAAATACCGAGTTTGTTCACCTAAAAGAATAAGTCTCTCTTTCGGTAAATAAAACAAATAATAACCGAGTACATATGCTAGTTTATTGCCTTACGAGTTAACAAAACACATCAATTACTGAGTTCTAGAGTTTTTACATGGTCGGTGTAAAATAATCTTATCCTCCATATATCTGTTCAATACATCCGAGTTGCACTAGTGTAATTCATTAATCAAAGATCAACTAACTCGAAAATCACACTAAAACCATTCATGACAGTTGGTTCTATACTGTCTAGGCTGTGAACCAAAGTTTATATTTTACGAGGCACTAATAATATGATCTTTCTGTTCGTCACATCGAACCATATTATCTACAACATAAAATAAAGGAATCTTGTTAGCATAAATAAATAAACTGCGGGCACTCACTTGATTAAAAACATGAATCTACTCAAAATGAAATTGGGAGTAACACAAGGTTGAGATTCTACAATATACTTCAACAGGTACGTGGGTAGATAATTTGTTAAATCAAGGAAACAAAATGTCTCACAGTGCAATAAATGGAAATAAGTAACACGTCGACTAAAACCAATAAGGAGAAAAAAGTCTCTTAGGTGTATTGGTTAAATTAATGATGAGTTCCTATAAATATTCAGCTTTTCGGTTTGGTATTGTCAAACAGCGGCAAAAGTTCTGAACATAGTTCCAATGTAAATAAATAACTTCTACTTTGAGAGGATTATGGATAGGGCATAGGCCCAGTATGGAACATATTCGAATTCAGGGTATTTTCAACATACTGGTTGAAATGTTGATAGTGATCATATATGAAAGTCGTTCAGAAATTTGGCTATTAGTGGAAACGAATATTTGGTTTATTTTATAACACTAAAAATCGGAAGGTGGTTTTTAGAGGAATACTGAGATAAGCCACAAGCCCACTTGTAAGATTATCATAAGCAAAGATAAAGGTGAAAGTTAAACTTCGGTACCGCGTGTATGAAATGTTATACCACAATAAAAGTGCAACACACACGTATAATACACTTTTGCCGGAGGTATCTCGTCGTAGTGGGAGGATTGAAAGGCAGACCCATATATTTGTGTTATTGAGGGTCTTTGTGCTCAGTCTCTAGTAAACATGAAACAATGGGTTCATGTTCTTGAAAAAGTCTTTGGACTTAGTCTCTAGTGAATGTGAAATAAGTCCATGGTCATACGATGAGGTGCTCGTTGTAGTGGAAGGGTTGCAGTGCAGCCTCCATAGATTCATGTAGATAAGAGAGTCTCTAGTAAAAATGAAACTGATTCATAGTCATACAGTGAGTCGCTCCAAACAAGAATGCAGAACCTTAGCAAAAGTTAAAATATTTTCTAATTTAGGGTCTTGGACTCCAATCAGGTCCGGGGCTTGTAGAACTACCAAGTGGCATAAAGATCATTGAGTGTAATGGATCTTTGATTAAAGTAGTCTAGGCTAGCGAGGATTGGTGTTGAACAGTAATGTCAGAAAGAATGGGATCGATTTTGAGTTGACTTCTTTGCCAGTAGCCATGCTTGAGTCTATACGAATTTTTGGCTGTGGCCCCTCGTATAAGCTAAAAGATCTGGCATTGTGGATGTCAAGACAGTCTTATGAACGGAGGTCTTGTGGGAAAATCCATGGTGCAACACCTAGAAGTACTCATTGCAAAGGGCTGAGAGCATCTAGTTTATAAACTGAAACGGTCCATTTGTGGACTAAAGTAAGTATTGAAATCTAATACATCTGGTTGATGAGTCATTTTTTTATGGATTTGATCTATCACAAATGAGCATTGTGTGTATAATGACAAAAACGTGATGGTATTATTTGTACTGTGCGTAGACACCGTTCTGATCACTGGATGTGGTGTAAGGATGTTGTTAGATGCAAGGGTATGGTTATCCAAGCAATTAGATGTGAAGGAATCAGAAGAACCGACGTATGTTCTTGATGTCAAGGATCACAATAAGGAAATGTTGTGATTATTTAGAACTTCGTATCCAAGAAATGATGTGCCGGAGACCTGGGTTTACTTCGAGCCGACTGAGAAATACCTCTAATCATCCCTGAGTCACTAATTACCTGCAAAACAAGGGCCGAGAGTGATTCCTGACGTGAGCACTCCGAGGTTTAAATTAGTAAGGGGAAGAAGAAGATGAACTGTAGTGACTGTATATCTGTGTGTAGGGAGTTTAAGGTGTACCTTAACCCTTTTTTATAGGATAAATATTTTGGTGCACAAGATTTAGTTGTCCGGGCTGCCTCGGTCAGTCTGCTCAAAACTAGGCTTGTAAACAAATCAAACTTTTTTGATTCGATTCGATATTCGTGATTCGAATTCAAAATATTCGAATTTGAATTCGAATACGAATAATGTTTTATATTCGAAAGTTAAACGAATCCAAATTCGAATTTGCAGATATTCGATTCGAAATTCGAATATTCGATTCATTAACAATAATTATATAAATTTTATAAATTATATATAGTATACATTTTGTTTATAATATATATGTGTATATATATATATATATATTGCTATATTTCTCCTATTTTTATGACATAAAAATTAAAACATTATAAATTAACAAATTTTTCTAAAAATATATGAAAAATAAAAATTATTTTTTGTAATTATAATATTTTTTAATTATAATTTTTTTGAAAACGAATTCGAATTGAATCGAATATGTTCGAATATTCTAAATGAATCGAATACGAATCAAAAAATGAGTTCGTTAACGAATCGAATACGAATTCGAATCTTCGAATATTTTAACGAATCCGAATCGAATCTCTGAGTATTCGCTTGATTCGATTCGTTTACAACCCTACTCAAAACTACCCAGCTGCCCAAAACTGCCAACTGGCCGGTGATTAATCCTTGTCTGCTTTGTGTTCATCTTATCTTGATCTTATCCTTATCCTCATTAGATTCGTCCTTATCCTGATTAAATTCATTCTTATCTTGGTTAGGTCTCCATCAACTCAGGTTCCTAGGTGCTCAAAGGTCCCTTGATCTTAGATCTACGCACCAGGTATTAGTAGGTCACAACTCTCTAGGTCGTCACAACGAGTATTTGTGAATCAGGTATCCAAATTATGTGTATTGTGAATCAGGTATCCAAATCATGTGTACTCGAACTGGTTCTGTCTTCTCTGTTTTGTAGGTCGAAGTCGAGTAGGTCTTCTTCTGTGGTTCCGAAGTTAATCTCACCTTACTTGTTCGTCACCCTGGTCTCTAATCGACACGTTTTAACCTTATACTGGTGACCTGGTTAGTCCATGGCTATATTAATTACTTTTTCCAAAACATTTTAAAAGTTGGTTGTTGAAAAATGTTATCCTAATTTGTACAGTTAAATAAATTAATGAATTTAATAGTAATTTGTGGAAATAGAGATATAAATTCAAAATAACGCGAAACACGAGAAATTAATGAAATTTGGCTTTTGCTTTTAAATTAATGATGTATTCGACTCAGCCGGTCATCATTCATTATTTAGCCCCGCGAACATAATGTTTTTGAGGAAATAATCAAACGCGTACCGTTAGAACTTCCCATAAACCTACTTTCACACTTCTCAACATGCCACATCGTCCAAAACCTCATTCTTACTCCTACACACATAAACCTTCAATAACAATGAAACCCAAAATTGCATATTTTATGGATCCTATATGTTTCCTACTTACTTTTATTTAATATTATATTCTTATATTTTTATTAAAAAATGAAAAAATAAAAATAAAATTAAGAAAGTTGGAGATTGTTGCAAATGTGAGGCCACACAAAAGGTTTATGAGAGGTTTGAATTTGTAAACCCATTTATTTAAAATCTTAAACCTCAAACTTTATTCATTTAATAATAAAACATGTAAGAGTAGGTTTGTAAACCCGAGGCAAAACTCATTGTTAAAGATTCTCCTACTGTTAAAAAGTCAAAAAGCTTATAACATAAGAGAAATGCTATGGAGTCAATAGTTGGCTTTTTTATGGAGCCAACCACCAATGTTATAGTGTCACGTAGGCTATGTGGAGTTAATTATTTTTTCACATGACCTGACCTACGTGGCACTATAACATTGGTGGTTGACTCCTTTAGCTCCATAGCATTACTGTATAACATAATCATGTGCAAGTAAACATCGTGGTCAAGCGGTCAACCAATTTCCTTTTTACTTTGTCCCAAACAAAACAATAGGATATGAAGCAATTGATGTTGAGTGTT